ACAACAGATCCGTGTCCCCAAACAAACAATATCTCTGTTAGCATGTCTTCTTCAAAAAAAAAAAAAAAAAAAAAAAGATATGAGACATTAAAAGAAAGATAGAGCAAAGGGCAAGGTAATTAAATTACTGGACAAGGAAAATTCGAATGAAAATAATAAAAAGGTTCATGCATTGTGAAGAATGTAACTGTGCAGTGAATTATTTACTAAATCTTTTCTAACCAGGCCTTTGTAACTCCCATCAAATGACTTTTTCCTGATCGCATGGGCCTGGCTAAGAGAAGGTGCAGGCAGATCCTGATAGGATTATATGGCTCAGCTGTGAGTGATTGTTAAGCGTTAACTGTAATTGTAAAAATCTTAAAATCTAAAGAGTGGCTTGGTCAACTTTGCCATTCTGCTGGATATAAATTAAACCATCTTGGTGATGTACGTAGGCTGTGAGCTCCTTTGCCTACTAACCGAGCTCGTCTCCATCTGACCTCCCGCTCTAGGGAATGTTAGCAGGTCATCTGACCTGATTCGCCTGTTCCCACAGCCTTGTGAGTTAACAGCCCGATTCTGCGTGAGTGGAGGAAACCTCTAAAAGACCAGGGGTGGGGAGCCTTTTCTTCTGCCCAGGGACATTTGGATATTTATAACATCATTCACGGGCCACACAAAATTATCAATGAAAAAATTCACCTGCTATATTTGGTCAAGAATTTAATTAACTCACCCCCTTATGTGATGGCTGGAACTGTGGCTGCCTTGGCAGGGCCAGACCACCTGATTTTGAGGGCCTTATGATGCCATGGTATTTTTAATAACCTCATATGCATGTGAAAACTGGACAGTGAATAAGGAAGACCATAGAAGAATTGGTGTTTTTGAGTTATGGTGTTGGAGGAGAATATTGAAAGTGCCATGGGCTACCCAAAGAACCAACAGATCCGTGTTGGAAGAAGTGCAGCCAGAGTGCTCCTTGAAGGCCAGGATGGCCAAACTTCGCCTATTATACTTCGGCCATATTGTCAGGAGGGCCCAGTTGCTGGAGAAGGATATCATGTTTGGTAAGTTGGAGGGTCAGAGAAAAAAAGGAAGACCCCCAGCGAGATGGATTGGCCAAGTGGCAGCATCGATGGACTCAAGCGTGGCAACAATGGTGAGGTTGGCCCAGGACCAGGCAGTGTTTTATTCTGCTGTGCATAGGGTTGCTGTGAGTCAGTGCTGACTCGATGGCACCTAACAACAACAATGTGGCCCACAGGCGGGATGTGTCCCACTTTTGCTCTAGACTGATGCCTGATCTGCAGATTTGGGACTTGCTAGGCTGTGGGTTAATGTGCTGGACTGCAGGTCACTTTGAACTTTAAGGTCAGCGGTTCAAGCTCACCAGCTGGCAGCTCCTCAGAAATACTATATAGGGTCTCTAAGTCAGAACTAAGGAGCTCTGGTAGCGTAGTGGTTACGAATCGGGCTGCGAACCTTAAGGTCAGCAGTTCGAAACTACCAGCTGCTCCGCGGG